CACACACACACACACACACATCTCTCCTCCATCCTCCACCAGCATCAGAGGCTGAGCAGAGCGGAGGTTGGCACCGGCGGAGGAGCATCAGCAGCGGAGCGACCCCTTTGTGCTTCACCGATAAACGCGCATCCTTCTGAGAGGACTCACCATCGGACATCCAGGTACATTTTACATTTATTTTATAAAAAATAAAAAAACAATAATAGTTCAAGCTTTGGGGTTAAAGGATTGAATAACTATACGGACAGGATGAGAGCAGGTGTCTGACGAGGAGCTGTTTACAAGTTGAGGAACGACTCTTTCTTTACGCACGTCATCAGTGTTTGGAGTGGTGGAAACATTCCCAGTATTACTGCCAGATGAAACTAAATCCCTCTGCTGGGTACAAGCACACATAATAACAAATAAGGCTCCACTGTGCGAAAGATGCAATAATTGTCAAGAGAAGGAAAAACATAGGCCTTAATAACACTCATTGGAAATGGGTTTGAAGTGAGATGGTAAACAAAGGGAGGGATGTAAACATGTGGACACATGAGGACATTTTGGGTCCCAGAACAGTGGCTGCATTTAAAAACTAAAATTCTTTAAAAACAAGTTTATTGATGAGAATGTCAGGCATTCATTTATTTTATATATAATTTCATTACATTTTAACATAAGTAAATGTTATTATAAATGACCCCCCTGTGGCTCATACACCTCTAGAGCAAAAACAACAAGAAAGACATATGCTTTACTCTCCCCGGGATGATTCCTGGAAGTGAAAGAGATTACCCATTCAGTAATGACATCATGCAGTGATGATGCACTTTGTTTCAGGGCCAGTGAGCTCAGAACAAGTGCTGTGATTGACGTGCTGCTCAGCATTGTTCTATTTTCGGAGGGTTTTATTTTCTCTATGGGTTTTAGAGGCCTGGCACCTCATTGACAGTCATATCACATTAGAAACAAAAATGCTGAGAGCATCGTGGAGATAAATATGAAAATGGATTAAAGATCTGCACAACACTCTGTGTGCATGGTCAACATTAGAGAGCACTCTGTGATGGATTAACGGAATCCATGCTGTGCCAAAAGCACACCATCTGGATACGGGGAAAAGCTCAACTGGAGGTCTAAAGACTTGTTTACCAGTCATGTGCACATTCTCTCAGCATCCCACTGACAGCGCTTTTTCCCACTGCTCTTATTTTCTGAATCTATGCTCCCACCAGGCTCATAGGTCTGAATGGTTTTTCACTGGGGCTGTGGATCACAGGCAGTTTCTAATGCTCAGGCGACCAGGAGATCCAGCTTAGATAATGGTTCGCCAGTTGCTCAGTAGGGAGCCAATCAACATTGTCTCGAGTAAAGTGGATGAGCACATGCATGATGCTGCTTTAAAGGGTCTACACTTAATTAGGGTTAGTCTTACAATTCAAAAAAATACTACACTGTGGTTGTATGCCTCTACCAACCAGTATAGTTTCTGTCTACATAAAAACAATTCCAGATTAATTTAAGGTCACTATGACCTTCACCTTTGACCACCACAATCTAATCAGTTCATCCTTGAATCTAAGTGAGCAACAATAGTTTGTACTGAATTAAAACAATTCTCTCAAGGTGTTCTTGACACATCGAGTTCACAAGACTGGGACAGAGACAGACAGATGGACCACCTGAAAACCTAAATGCCATGTGACAAGCTCCTTAGAGACCATTGGTCCTGCACCACGGCAAATAACAGGAGATGATTCCGAAATGCATTGAAGGCATTTGTCTGTAGGATGCTACAGTTTTTCTGATCTACGACTCTTCACGTTCCAGGTTTTATGATCCTCCACGGCTACTTGCGGCTATTTCCTGCTTAATCATAAATATTGTATGTGTTGTTTATTTAATTATTTATCTCCCATTCATCCCCATTAGCTTTATCTTTTTCAGCACAATATTATTGTATATAAATCATCATGGATTCATTCTGCCTTTTGTTTTCATAATCAACACTGGTTAAATAATAACAGCCGATGGTAGAAACACAGAGGGGAACTTAAGCAATAAAATAAGGAAATATACATAAATACATAAGTCCTAGCTGGTAACATTAGGTTGTACTCTTTGTAAGAAAATGTATTTTTAAGGAGCAAATGGTTATAAAGTGCCACAGTCCTAGGATTAGTTGAAATATAAGTGATTAGTCCTTGGATAAGTGCAGATGTTTCTGAAGGCCACACGCGCGGGGACAGAACGTTCAGCACTCTGAGAAAAGCACTCACACATCACATGGCATCACCTCGGCACGCTCTAGATATCCTCTCAGTGAGGGACAGAATCTCAGGATGAACAGAGGAAGCTACACTACAGAGTTTCACATAATTGGTTCCATCTTGCTGGAGTTATCCGTACAGCGCTTCCTCCCCATGGTTGCTGAGACTGTTGCTAGGGTACAGCTCTTGATGCCTATATAATCTGATTCTGCCAGTGCGCCAAGCAGCTGTGCATTGCTCCAGTACAGTGATGCTGTGGGAATGCATCTAAAGAAAAGTGAAACAGTAGGAAAGGTGGTGCAGACCACCTGGAGCTCAGATCTAATTTGGACTCTGACGACAGGAGGTGGAGTTTGATTCCTCTCTGTTCTATTTTTGCAAACCTCTGTGGTCCTGTGCTCCTCTGTGGTTTGAATAATGAGGATTTTTGTCGGAACTGCTAAAACAGGGATGTGACTTACATTAGGTCATGAATTGGGGATTTCATTCTCATTATGATGGACGACTGTGAGGAAAAACCAGGTCGTCGAGGCGAGACCGACACGTTTAAAAAAATCTGGATTAAGCTACGGGGAAGACAGGTTCAGACTCATGACAGCAGTACACAAGCCTTGGGGTCAATTACATCATTCCTGAGAAATAAATAAATAAAACGTATGCTCTTATGCAACTGACCCTCTGAGGCGATGATGTTGGATGCAATCAGCAGGGGAAAGGAAGTGAAGTGATTGTATCAAGTTTATTCAAGCATGAGAGGGAATCTGCATTATTTAGCACTAAAGCATCAATAAGGAAAGTCTCTTTCTTGTTGAGATGTGGGAATGAAAATGAAAAGTTTGAAAAGTGGATTTAAGATTGCTCCATAGCTCACTGATAGAATCACTCTGTAGCTTTTGAGAGGCACAGTTCAGGAGGTTTAGAATAACAAAGGGAAGTTAAGACACCTTTCTTCTATTACTGTGCTTCATAACTGATCGTCTCAATCAGGAATGACTTTAATGAAAAGCATAAGAAAAGTATGAAAAGAATATTCCTGATCTTTCTTCTTCAGAGCTGTGCAGACTCTGGGTCATATAAAAAAAAATCTGGTTTTATTCTACTGTCTTTAGCCGCTGTAGCAGCATGTCTCTGGTTATGTCAGTCCATCACTTTGGTCCAGACTGAAGAATTTAAACAGCAGGGGCGGATACAGGGGGGCAATGATCCTGAATGAGGATCATTTAAAAAAATATATTCAATGATGTGTGGCTTTGCTCAAAGCTGCAGACAGTAAAACAGCAAACAACCACAAGCATTCAAGATCCCAAGAGGATGAATTCTGAAGACTTAAAATTTCGAATGATGACGTTTTCCTCGAGCACCACCAACAGGTCATTTTGTTCATGTATGCAATGATATATCTCATTATTTTCTTGATGAATTGTTATGACATTTTGGACCAATTTCCCCTAGGCACATACATTAATGACTTTGGTGATTTAAGTGGCAATTTTTAATTGGCCTACTTAACAAATTCTGACTTCAAATAAAGGTAAATGGTGTTTATTTTCAGCTATGACACATAGAATTAGTTTCACAAGGTCTTAATGTCAGTGTGTGCTGGCTTTGGGCTTGTGCCATCTGCATAAGGCAGGGTGTGTGTGAGTTTGTGCGTGTATGTGTGTGGCAGTGGGTGGGATTTGGTGGCGTGACACAGTTCGCACAGAGGACCCTTGTTTCTTAACAGGTTCAAGGGCAGCGTCAAAATTCTGCCACATACTCAGTCCACAGAAAAATGACACTGATTTTTCTAATTTCTTCTCTTCATCAGGGGAAAACGCTTCGTGAAGCACAATGGGACCGTTCCAAGAATATGAGGTGAGTCTTCTAATTGCTGCTGTGTGTTCAATCTAAAAAGTAATTCCACTTGATAAAGAAAAAGATAGAAATGAAACTAGGTGGGGGTGTGCTTCCTGGAAACTCTGACAGATGTTACTCTGAACAGGAAAAGAAGTCGCCAGAGAAGGGAAGCCCTCGCAGTCGCATCCCACGCTTGGTCCTCCATCCTTTTCGACCAAAGGACAAAGGATCACCTCAGTCTGACTCACCGTTTTCAGAGGAGGATGGCAAGGACTGTGACATCAGCTCCGACCACTCCAAGAGAACCATCAGCAACAATAGCTTTTGCTCTGGTAAGACATTCAAGTCCAGTTCAAAGACAGCTAAGTTCATTCCTGATCGGAAAAACAGAAGCCATTTATATCCAGCTTCACTTACAGGCCTTTAGGCGCAGGATTGTACTGCAGTGCTTTTGGTTGAAACTAGCAAGGACCACACCACAACAATATGTGATTTAAAGGTTTGAATGGAAATTGTTACATTGCATGTTGAGGAAAAATGAATAGACATTGTGTGAAGGGGTTGAGCTGCAGATACCTGAACAAGACGTGCATGAAACGCACCAAACTGAATAAGAAGAGAGGAGGAAGAGAAGAGAGGATGAATGGATATAGGTCAGGATGAGGGAGAAGGATGAAGGGAGGAGGGACAGATAATGAGGGGAGGAAGACAGGATGTGAAAGGAGGGTAAGGGGGTTGTGTGTAAGGATGGGCAGAAGTATAGGGATGAGGTACAAGGATGAATGGATGAGAGGAAGGGAAGAGGTGGGTTGAAGAATCTGAGAAAAAATAGAGCGTGATGGGTTAAATGTCTCGACAGGTGATTAGAGGAGTTGTTGAGGTGAGGCCCTGCTCAAAGTTTACATCATATGTGATAAAAGCAGAACCTTTGACTCGTCACCTTAAAGCAAAGAATGCAAGAATATGCTTTAACAGAAAATGTATATATGTTTATGTATGTTCACCCAAAAGTTACAAATAGAGCAAATACTACACTTCAAATATGTGTCAGTGTGTGCACAGTGCATGTGTGTGTGTGTGTGAGCACAGTGCGTGTGCATGTGTGTGTGTGTGTGTGTGTGAGAGAGAGCACAGTGCGTGTGCATGTGTGTGTGTGCACAGTGTAAATCACAATAAAGGCACCACTTGATAACCACTTTCTGAAAGTGACAAGCCACTGTGAAAGCCGTTGTGCTATCTGTCAGATGACACCCTGGGCTGAACCTTGAGCTCTGACTGACTGACTGACTGCCTGACTGCCTGCTTGTGTTCACTGCCCGCCCCGCACTGCCTGTTCGTGCGTTATTACTGTCTGTGTACCTGTCTACAATAGATGACACCGGCTGCCCCACTAGTCAGTCTGTGTCCCCCTCCAAAACCCCGTCAGGCTCCGAGCAGAGTGCCCACAGCTCGCCCACACTCCCCGAGCGCAAGGCCAAAGTGAAACGTGTGAGGGTGATGGCCGAGTGGAACGGTGACCCACGGAGCACGAACAGGCACAAGAGGGAGATGAGGTCGGCCATGAAAGCCAGAGGTAAGCAAAGCAAGAACACAGAGATAAAGATAAATGAGGAGAAAAAGGTGAAACAGATAATAAGAGAAGACGGAAAGACGATCAACAGCATTTGAAATCTTCACTTTAGTCCTTAATTATTATTGAGACTAGGAATAATCTGCATTTGCATTTTTTTTGTTCATGAGTGCTGTTCAACACAATACACTCCTGCATGCCAGTGTTTCCCTTAGGACCAAAGTACAATAACAGTGTACATATCAGCAGCAGACAGATTCCCAGGCATATTGACTTGAACAGACTGTGACTCTGAAGCAGCTGCCTGCCTGAAAAGGAAAATAATAACTGTCTCTACATCTGTGCTCTGTTAACATACATCAGAAACAGCTCACTCCGCTTCTTAATGCCAGAATTAAATTTCCTCCCTCATCTAATCTGTCTCAGTCTGGAGGGCTTGAGAGAAAACTGCTTGATCCGGAGTCAAAATAAGGCCGAGAGCTGATTGGTGGAGGAAAAGGTTTGGGAGCTCAGGCAATTAGGCTGATTAGCAGGAGTTCACCACACTGATTGTATGTGCACAGGCCACTCAGTTGGTTCACCCAGTGGTGGAGGATCACTTAGTTTTCTACTGTTTTATTTGTCACAGTTGTCACTGTACACACTACTATGGTTTTGTTTGATGGGAAGAGATGCTACTCAGGTATGACTTTAAATTAACCTTCAATGATATCAAACAAATATTTAGTTTTTCCTCTGTTTTGAAAAGTTCTCAGGTTCAATGCTTCAGCACTGTGCAGAGGTCCTTTGTGTAAAAAAGTGTTTGTGTTTCAGCATGTGACAAATAACAACTGGATGTTATTATACCTTATCTCTATCTAGGTCTAACACAGGGTTGTAGATCTGAGATCTGTCTGAGAATCTAGAGTTTAGAAAAAAGAGTGTATATTTGTTCATGTCAAAGTTAATGTGGAGGTGTGGAGCTTTAAATGAGACAATAACTGTTCAAGTGAAATGAGAATGAGGGAAACTGATCTGAAAACTTTTTTGGGGGGCAAAATGTGTGAATTTTCAAGCTTTCATTCTCAAATATGGTGTTAAATTTGTGTTAAATCAACAATCCAAAGTTCTTGCCACCACTCAAGTTATTGAAGCTGCTTTCAGACATGCAGTGAACTCCTGAATGGGTCATGTCTGAAAATGGCTTCAGTCAAATCACACCAAGTGCAGCCCGTAGCAACAGAACACCTGAGAGTTTTGAATTGAGCCAGATTCATTATTGCTTTTAATTCACCTATTTATACAAAGATTGTTTAATCATCTTCAGTTTAGACTATGAACACACTGGTGCGTTTCTCTGCAGGCAGTGAGGCAGACTTCAGCTCCTCCAGCAGCACAGGCAGCCTGAAGACCAGGGAGAGCCTCACTTCAAATTCAGCTGGAAAGAAAGCTCTTTCACGAAGGTATGAAATTCAACATTTTTATCATCCGAATGCTTTACTGGGTTATGACTACACTGAAAAAATGTTTTGCTTAACTACAAAAGATATGTTCATTGAACAGAACATACACCTGGCCCTCAGTCTTCCCTTTTCCAAGAAGGCAGTAGCAGAATAAGCTGCTTAATGTCTTCAGAATGCACAATACCAGAAACAAAAACCAAAATGTCCCTAATTTCCTGAACTTCCCTTTCAAATTAATATAATGAAATGACAAATTTCTGACCTACACTCCTAAAACATAAACAAGAGAAAATATTCATTCCATTAAACAAAAAGGGCTTCTAACTCCTCCCACTCTGCTGCTAGTTCAGTGGATCAGCACAGGTTGCCTAATCAAATTATCAAGACTCTTCTAACTTGCATATTCTTTAACAAATGTGACCAAACTAATATTCCCAGAATTCCCAAAATCTGGGTCCTCTGTTGGGGGGGGAGGAAGGGTGAGAGGTTGATGTCAGCTGGAGTTTAAAATGTCCATTATAATGGAATGGACCAATCCACTGGCAGCAACCTCGGTAAACCAGCCGCTCAAGGGACAATTTCAAAGGACATGGGCTCAAGAAATTAACCTAGCATCATCAAATACATTCAAATTTGTATATATTTCGAAATAACTCTTGAATATTTTTTGTGGATGTTTTGGTTTTGATTTAAATTATATGAAGTCGTGGCGCACACATCAGACCGCTCCCAGTGTTCAAACCAGCCGGAAGCCTGACAGCCAACCGTGATGCAGAGCTGTACGCGCCCTACAGGACTCCGCCCAGAGCTGCCTCCTCAACCAACAGCAGCAGCTGCAACTCCAGCCCCACCTCCAGGTACCAGACATTGTTTTCAGTCACCATGACCTCCTGGACGTGTCTAACACATCTACATTTCTCCACTTGGATTCATTACAAACCCAACATTCTCTGCCTGAGGGAGTAGTTAGATTTGGGAGACTGGGAGATTTTGGATAGTGGCTCAGGCAAATGTGCAGCATAATGATGAGTGAGTGGGTGGCTGGATTAGGCTCAGACTGTTTTATCATTTCCCCTCTTGCAGCTGGCTGGGATTATATCGGTCATGATTTGGCTGTGGCTAGGATTAATGGGGGATTGAACAAAAAAAAAGTCTGAATATGGTACCCAGAGAGCGACCATACTGGCTGCAGCCAACTCGTAACTGGATTAGAGTGAATGCACCTTGGTTTGGAGGAGAGAAGAGGGTCATAAATATTTCAGACTAACAAAGCCTGGAGCTTGAAAGTGTGGACCACCATGAATTTCTCACATGGTGCTCCGAGTTACCAGGAGAGTTTATTTTATAGGTTTTATTTCTGTAGGCCTGTTCAGCTCTGTCTGCATAAGGGTTAACCTACAAATCCTCTGTCCACAGTATGAATAACAAAGCCTTTTGAGTAGCAGAATCTGCCTCCCTCATTTTATACAGCATCCATAAATGCATCCAAAACCCCCACTCCTGTCATTTTAAGAAATTCTGTTGTCAGCCTTCCTCCGCCTGGCTAAGTGTCATGTGACATCTATCAGTTTCACATGCTGCCTTCTCCTGGGCTGTTTCTATTTCTGGCAGGGATGCATAGCACTCTCTCATCAAAGCCTTGAGTATCCCAGGTTGCTAGGATGCAGACAGGAAGAGAGGGGGCGCTTACATGCTGCTTTGCATATTGTCCAAATCCACCAAGCCGTCCTCTACTGATAAAAAAAAAGAACATAAATCCTTTTTCTCTCAGAGCATGAAACTCTGACCCTACAACATACAAAGAACATGAATGAATGAATGAATGCTAATGTAATTAGCCTGTAGATTAACGATCTGTTTTCCAGTAAGGTGATTTCCTTCCTTGCTAACTCTGCTTGTATTTAGATAAAGCAGCATTTTAGGGTTTTTTGCCCTCTAGTCTGCTTGCCAGTAATCCTGTGTCAGACAGTAATTCCAGGCTTCAGAGAGCATCTGCCCAAACAGCACTCTCAGTCGGACTAATTACCCTCTGCTGGGAACGATCTTTTACTCTGAAATGTCAATTGGGTTTGTTTTCTGCTGTTGGCTTCAAAATGTCTACTTGGGCATCTGATGGATATGGCTCATTCTAGAGGCTGTGAACGAGGCCTTTAACCAACTGCATATATATGTGCCCAACAGAAGAGCCAACCTGGGCCGCTACCACTCTTGTGGAGACAACCACGGCATCAGACCCCCGAATCCTGAGCAGTACCTCACCCCTCTGCAGCAGAAGGAAGTGGCCATCAGACACCTGAAGTCCAACCTGATGGATTCTGAGAACAGAGTCCATGACAGGTCAGTTATGATTCAGCAGCACGGTAGCTCCCATGATCCTATCTGTAGCATTTTATGGTTTTAAGGCAGGATGATAGTGATCATATCAGGGGTCAGGGAGAGCGGTCATATCAACACTAAATAATAACATTAAAATCAAACAGCCTGATGGTTATAGAGGAATTTGATAATTTTCAGGAAATGGAGAATAATCTGAGATTTATACCAAGCGCAATGTTTACAAATGAAGCCACAACCTACAGGCCAGTTAGTTTAGGATTAACACTGGAAACTTGGAGAAACTGAGCGTAGCTAACAAACTGCATCTACTTGCAATTTACAAAGCATGCATCAAACCACAACATGCTGTCTTTACACTTTGGCTATTGTATGGAGTTAAAAATGTTACTTATATTTAAAGACCGGATTTCTGCTAATTGCAGGGGCTTCAATGATCTGTTGAGCCAACTTCAATTAACTCGCAAAATAAAACACTGTAACACTGTGTTGCCAAAGTAGGTGAATGAAAAGTTCAATCTGGACCGGGCCAGTGCACAGCTGGAAATGAGTACGTCTTGATCTATATACATGAATGTGGAGTAAAAACCACAGACTGGATTTATGATAGGTGGATGTTGTTTCCTTTGGACGGAGCCAAGCTAGCAATAATTCAAGGCTTTGCGCGAAGCTAAGCTAGCCAGACGCTAGCTGTAGATTCATATTACAGATGCAGAAAAATTAGACGAGTATTGCCCTTCTCATATATCAAGAAAATAACCTCCATAATGTTAAACAACAGCAGTAACTCTGTACGTGTTCTTCTCTTTATTAGAGAGACAGAGATTGAGGAGCTTAAGGGCCAGCTTGGCAGAATGAGGGAAGACTGGATTGAAGAGGAGTGTCACCGGGTGGAGGCTCAGCTGTCCCTCAAAGAGGCTCGCAAAGAAATCAAACAGCTACGTCAAGTGGTGGAGACCATGAAGAGCAGCCTGATGGAGAAAGACAAGGGAATACAGAAATACTTCATTGATATCAACATTCAAAACAGGAAGTTGGAGTCCTTGCTGCACAGCATGGAGCTGGCCCAGAGTGGTGCCAACCTTCAAGATGAGAACACCTTGGAATTCATCTGCGACAGCCCCGACAGTGGTGGGAAGAAGATGGAAGGGGAAGAGGAGGTTGGGTTAGGGGAGCTGGGGGACCAAGGTGCGGAGGCCATGGCGGACAGTGGGCTGCTGGTTAATGATGAGATGGCGAACAGAGCAGACATTTTGGAGCAGCTCTTCATGTCCACAGCTGTGGACTTCAGTCAAGACTCTATTGAAAAGCTGAGAGCAGAGGCTGGGCCTGGGGTGTCTACGCTGATAGAAGAGGAGCAGTTGATTGAGGAATCCACTGCACCCACACCAGCTCCACCAAAGGCAGTTTCAACCACAATCGACATCTCTTTAAGCACACCCACCCAGCAGACCAGAGAAGACAAAGGAATCCAGACCGACACAACGCCCATGTCTCCAGACCTGCAGGCTCTCCTCCTCCAGCTGCTGAAGTTCCATGGGTCCACAGCTGGCAACACAGCTCAATCAGTGTCCAGCAGCTTTCAGGGTCTCATCCACCTGCCCAATCCCACTTCAGACACGGATCTCCCCGACTACACTCTTTACCCACCCAGCATGCCCAGCCTCGGTCACCCAGAGAGCCCTGACACCTCCACCGATTCCGGCATGTGCTGCTCAGAGACTGCACAGAGCCGACGGTTCATGGAGGAGCTGGACTTTGCAGTCGACGACGAGAAACCTTGCATGTCACCGGGACTGGACGTGGTTGGCAAACGTTACTGGAGCAACAGCTTCCTGGTGGATCTGGTGGCAGTCGCAGCTCCTGTGTTACCCACGGTGGCCTGGCTGTACTCCCGACACGGTGTAGATGGAAGTTCCCCGGTGTACAACATCGCTGCTCTTATCAGGGGCTGTTGTATCATGGGATTGCACTCTCTTCGTCACGTCACTCACAGGCCCAATGCGTAATGGCTTCCAACCTGCATGCACGCGCCAAACCTTGAAGTAAAAGCACTTAAGCATCTTTTTGGAGAGTGTTTGTGAGATTATTATTTTTACACCAGATATCAATGCAGTTTTTTTGGTCCCAACACTGTTACTTTGCACTGTAAAGTTACCAAACTGGTGACATGTAAGGGATAATTTATGATGGGGGGTTATATATTTATTTATTTATCATATACATATATAAGCTGATCATCTGGGTAGATGGTTTTGTGTTATCATTGTCCTGTGGTGTCCCTAGTTTTCCTTGTGTTTGAAAAAAAAATGTTTTTTGTGTTAAGGGATGGGATTTTTGGAAGGTGAAAGACTGAATGTTAGTTTGTGTTTGACAGGTTCTGAAATTGCAACAGTTTTGAGTTAATGTTGAGAACGAAACCTTAAACCTTCAGCCAAAGCTTTAATGTGAATTCACTGTTTTGTGAAGAATTATTTTTATGTATTTTCTTTCCTCCCTGGGAGTAGAGCTTTATTCAGTACAGCCTTTGTATTGTCCATAGAAATAAGTTGACGCTTCAAAGCAACTGACACTTGTTATGTGCCTGAGCTATGTGCAATACTGGTTGTTTACATCAAATGTCCTTGTATCTTTATTATTAAAGCATGATAATTCTAGCCACATGTTTTGACTCCTGATATTTTAACCTTTCGGGTGTGTCGTGGGTTGTAAAAGTTTCACTTATGTAAGCGGCCTGTGCAAAAATACTGCAGGAGACATTTGTACAAGATGTTCACATGAATTCATTTATGGGGGGGTACGTCTTCTCTGATCCCAAATGTAGCTAAGCAATGTCCTCATGATTGCTCATCTTACGTAAAAGCTTTCTCGGCCTGTATTTTCAGACGTCCCTTGGGTTGTGAAGCTGACAATGTAGAGTGCATTAGATCCACTTCACTGGGATCTCTCAGAAGCTGTAAAACGCTGCCTAACTTACACCAGTAGCAGCTGTACGAGTTTGCTTTCTTTAGTCATTGCATAACATCAGCGGTCATTAAATGAAAATGAAACAAGCTTTTTTAATTCTAAAGGAAGGAACACTTGGCCTCTTTGCTTTCATTACTTTTTCCCACTCTGCCATATGGTGATCTTAAGTTGCATAACCACCATCTCTTGACTTAATAAAAGACCAATGAGTCATCAGATGCTGTAATCCTTGCACGATTTAGTGGATTCTAGATTAATATGAGTGGGCAGCAATGGCGTTAAGTCTGTTAACACACCAGTCTAGTAAAGTAAGTACATGCTGTGGCCTTTCAGGACAGCTATTCAGCCTCATATCCTGTTCCCTCTCCCAAACACTGATGACATGCATTTTCCCTTTTTGAAACTAGGTCGGCCTCTTAAGAGGGTTTGGCAGGCATGTGTGTCCCCAGACAGACGGAGAGTGACATCATTGTGCTGAGGGTCAGATGAGGGATGACAGCCGTCCGTCAATCCTGGTTTAAAGACATCAGAGATTATAATGTGGTGACAGACTGAGTCAACGCCAGCAGTGACCCCAGCTATATACCAACATGGTCACACTGACAAAGCTAAGTTAGCCCAAGCCAGGCAACATACATGAAGCTAAAATGCTGATATTAGTATGTATCATGTTTTGTTTATCATCCATCATCTTAGTTAGCATGAAGGTATGTGCTACTTAGTATTATACATTATAATTTGTGAGGCTAATGAAAAGGTTTGCAGGTTATAAAAAATGTGTTCAGTCCAGTTGGACATTTTTTTATTTGAAATCCCATTTTCTCAGTTGTGCTGTTCTACAGTGAAGGCAGATGTAGTGGACATGCAGAGAGTCAAGCTTGCCAAATGGGAAATGGCGAAGTATGCAAACATTTCTAGATAACAATAATGTATATGAACACTTCCAGTCTGGTTTTAAACCTCGTCAAAGCACTGAAACAGCTCTTTTAAAAGTTTTTAATTATCTGATTTCAACTGTTGATTCAGAAGACTCTGCCATCCTCCTGCTCTTAGACCTGATGGCTGCTTTCAACACCACCGATCACTCAATCCTGTGGTCACGTTTGGAAAATTGTGTCAGAATTAAAGGTGCTGCACCAAGGTGTTTTCATATGAGTTTCTCTGTTCACCTTTGTGATTACTCCTTCAGGACGGCCCAACTTACATGTGGTGTCCCATGTTCCGTTCGAGGCCCCCTCCTGTTCTTCTTACATAAACTTCCCCTAGCATCAAATTTAGTCAAATATGACGTCTCTTTCCACTGCTTTTAGGATGATGTTCAAATATACTTTACCCTTGAATTTAAAACTGAGTTCATTGCAGCCCCTGTTTGACTGCCTTAATAATGTTAAACCATGGATGAACTTAAACTTCCTCAAACTAAATGAAAACGAGACTGAGGTTATCGTGTTCGGACACTCTGAACTGCTGGATGTGGGCACCCTTGGCCTTCTAGCCCCTAATATTCAGTCCTCTGTGAAGAGTCTCTGTGTTAATTTTGACAGTGTTTTTAAATTTGACAAGCAGATTTCCTCAGTAATTAGGTCTAGGTTCTTTCATTTGAAACTTATAGCTAAGGTAAAGGCCTGTCTCTCACTTAAAGATCTAGAGAGGGTAATCCATGCCTTCATAACGTACATAATAACATAACATAACCTGTCGTTTATTCAGCGCCTGCAGCTCGTCCAAAATGCTGCCTCCTGACAGGAAAAAAACAGAGGGACCATATTACACCTGTGTTGTGTTCCCTCCACTGGTTTCCTGTTCATCACAGGATCTTTTTTTTACATTTAATTGTTAACTTTTAAAACTTTGAATGGGCTGGCACTGCCTTACTTACCTGAACTCCATACTCACACTCCAGTTAGAGAGCTGAGATCAGCCACTCAGCTGCTCCTGGACTTGCCTAAAAGTAGTCTCATAACCAGCAGCGATCAAGCCTTTGCAGTAGCCACCCTAAACTTGTGGAACAGCTTACCACTCCATATTATATCTGCCCCTTCTCAAGCACACTTCAAATCATTGTTTAAAACACATCTCTTCTCTTTGGCCTCTTCTTTTCGAGTTGGGAAGGTTTTTATCCCAGCTGATTTTATTTCTACTTTATTTTTTCTATTGGTATTTCTACCTTTTACTTCATGGAGCACTTTGGTCAACCAAATGTGCTATATAAATAAAATTGACATTGACAAGCATGAGGGAGAAATTATTGTACAATACAATAATGATCATACCTCTGGCAACAGAGACAGCAGTGCATAGCCTATTTACTAATGTTGTGGTAAAAAAAACCCATGTATTTTACAAAAATACTTCAATCACCCGCCTCAAAACATCCTTGTATTTTGTCTGAAATTCATAAAGTTTGAAGAACGTCAAGTTTTCTGTGCGTTGTTCTGATATAAGGAAGGGACTGCAGCTTAATTAACTATTTCTTAGACCGCAGATCAGAAAACAGAGTCATGACCACAGTTATGCACCTCAAGAGGTATGAACCAAATGATCTTTATTAAAAACCTGTGTAGGACGAACACAGCAGGTACACAATCTGCCAGACCTTTTTGATTGATCCGGCGGACTCATTAGTTTTGAGTATGTGTCCTGAACCATGAATGTTTTTTATAACACAAAGTCATACATAATGGGGAAAAAAAAGAGATGAGCGGCAACAAGTTCTGTGAAATTCATTTTTGGAAAAATTAAAAGTGCAAAATGGCAAAACAGAACAACATGCTGCTTTTGGAAACTGTTGGAAGTTTGAGCATTTTTAAAGAAAACACTCATCCACATAGTTTACCAAATTCCCTTTAAATAAACACTTGCCTTCAATTAAAGTCTTAAACCTGATCATGCACTAATCAGCACTGCTTTCGAAGAATCAGCAGCTCAAAGCAGGTCAATAAATCATTTGATAGATAACATTAACTCAGTGTCTCATTAGAAGTGTGAGATCACACTGCTTGCAAAGCTTTCCCTGGTGAAACATTAGGGAAGAGATGTGTCTTCCTCACCCTATTCCAGGTCATGGACCACAGACAAACTCCCTCATGTATGCACATTTTAATTTATAAAGGCCTTTCTTTATCCTTTGCTGTTGTTTCCATGACAACACCATCCCCAGCAGCAGAGGAAGACATTTTTCCAACACTGTCTTCTACTGTACTGAATTCTGAATTCATATTGAGCACGGTAACTGGTCTGAGATTAAACTGAGATGGTAAGACATATTTCATTAAGGGTGTATTTAAGAATAATGTCCCCTTCCTCGAGGAAAAACAAGTCACTACAGTGATCAGGGGATATTTTCCAATATCCAAAGCTGACAGAGGAGAATTAGTTCAGAAAATCAGAAGCCATGAGATTACCATAGGAACCCACAGCATAACATGGGCTAGATTCTAGTCTATAGTCATTTATCCACTCATACTGCAAATCTTCAGCCTTCAGTTCAATGCAGATTTCCAGTGTAGTAATGGCTGCAGCATATCAAGCAACATTCATTCAAAAATTCTGATTTAGGCAATGACATAAGTAGAAAAACACATTAATCAAGCAAACCTAGGGATGTCACTGGTACACAGTGATGCTTTAAATTAATTACACTCCTTTGTCCTTTTAGGTTATAATTAAGACAAAGCAAAATAATTGTAATTGAGGTTGAAAAGGTAGCACAGGTACCAGTTTATTTACAGATGTTCCAGGGGAAAAAACAAAATAGAACAGTTTTCTATGCTACCAAACAAATGTAATCAGAATCTTAATGGTGCCTTCTAAATGCTGCATGTAACCCTTAATCTACGATGAACCCGATTGTATAAAAACAAATCTCATTTGAAGTCCAGAGTTACCTTGACCTTTTCTGCCCTGGAGAATGAGGAATGCATTGTACACGTCTGCGGACCAAAATGGCTGCTGGTGGAAACAGGGTGGAGGACAACACTTTGCTAACAGATGAGAAGTGGATGGTGATAATCCTGGTCTGTTTGATGACTTGAGATAAATTAACAGACTGAGTCTTTTTTTGCACTCTTTCTCCCTTTGGCTCAAACCTGAGCATCGCTAAAACGTTACGAGAGCTTGACGGCAATCTTCTGCTCCTTTTTCATCATCCTCTGAACATCTTTCTCCATCTTCTTCCTTTGCTGTTCCATGGAGCGCTTTTCTCTCTCAGCCATCTTCTGTTGTCTGTGAAATGAAGGCAGAAAAAGTGCATGATTAGAGGCCATAATACTAGAGAGAGAGAGAGCACATGATGGAAGCAAGGTCAGCTGGCAGAGGGGGAAATCTTGTTCCCTCTGCTGCTGGTGCAGTAAAAATTGCACACTGTCACCTGCTGGCCATGTTGTGAACCTACACTTCTCAAACAAAAGTACCATTGTGAGCAGATAATGCTCAGTTCTATTGTATCTGATAACATTCTGACTATTAAGCTTCTATCTGTTCAGAGTCATGTTTCTAAAAAATGTTTTCCTTTATTATAGTTAATGCTGCAACCAGGAAACCTATTGGATGATTTCTTTATATAGCTTTTTGCCTACAAGCGCAGATAAAGTTCTTGGTGTCACTGTGCATTCACATGCTCCTCGGAAAGTCCCATTACTCGAGGTGTGAGGTTGACTTCCATGTGTTCAAGAAAAAAAAACATGGACCCTGCAAACAAAATGTGTTGTATTTATGTGTTTAGAGCTTTTAAAGAACACCTTGACATGTATTTGCAGAATAACAAAGAGCAAAGAAGCAGGATCAGGAGTGATAGACATAAATAATTTAAACATTACTCAGAAAACATCTGTATTGGCTAAAATGTTTGGTGGTTGGTGCTTGTAAGTGATGGACGTGCAGTGAGCAAGTGACAAAAGTTCACATTTAAAGCTTCTGTTTAGAGCTGATTATGTTTATTGGTTTAGGTAATGATGTCAATCCTCATCCTGTGTGGTCGATTTTTGACATATTACCTGAGCACCTCCTCTGCTTCCCAGGCAGCATCGGACTCTTCCTCCCAGGCATTTGTATTCTCCTGCCAATTGTCCATTTCTCCAAGCTCAGCCTGTAAAGTGTTCAAAGTTATCCCTGAAGATGTGACTGGAAGAACAACATTTCTGTTGCAAGAGTTATACATTCCTGAATAAGACCTTAATGTAAACCAAGTGTTTCACATTGTGTATGACCGCTTTACTGCACAATTACTTTGGAAGTCTCCTCCCCCTTATAGAGATATACTCTATGCAAGACCTGTTCCGTCCACACTGTTGAATTTCTACGAGTTAACTTTCCGTAACCTAGTTTCTCTAATAGTCTGAATGTTTTTCACTTGCAGACCAAATGAGACCAATGAAACCACCAGAGTTTCATGTTGACTGATACAATGAACACAAGATCAGATGTCATTTAGACTGACAGCATGGGTGTGTACAAACATTTAGATGTTGCCTTCTGTAGCTTTAAAAAAAACTGTGTACTGGCCTAACAAGTTACCCAACATGCTTTACTTTGCCTTTCCATTCCCGTTCCTTTTTCTTCATGTATTTTACATTCAAACCTATTAAATCTTAGCAGCCTACAGAGTGTATATAACCTGTCTAAACTTCATAACTTCTCCTTCATTCTGTTCTTTTACATGCATTATGATGAGAAATCAATGTATTATATTTATGGACCTGTATCCAAACAGCTGCATTACTCTTGTACTACTCTAGACCACAAACTCTTTTCAGTGATCAAATGGTAAATGGACTGTATTTACTTTGCGATGTATATAGTGCTTTACTACACTATTACATGCTGAGATTTTTCTATTGCTCATCCTTCACTCTATTACTCAACCAAAATGTCAGCACAGTCGTCAGGGGCAACTAGGGGTGCACTGATCTTCTTGTTAGTTTCTACCTGCTGGATCACAGCCAACCCAAAATGACAAAAGGTCCTGGGTGTGTGGGAACAGGAGCTTCAGGCGTTGTAAATAGTAACTCACAGAGGGTGGACTGTAGGTCATCATATCCTGAGAGGCTGCCAGTCTGCTGGAGAATCCTGCTGAGCCATCAGGCACCAGGTAGTTCAGAGGCTCCCGTTTCTTCAGGAGGATCTGCAGCGTGAAACCATAGACAGGAGAGATCTGATCAGACATTGACTAAGATATTTTGTGATGCACTGGAATATCATGACATGCACAGATGCAGTCATTTTATTTTCAAAACTGGCAAAAATCAAGGTAATTACAACAACATTTGTTAGTAACTATACTGATGAAATATTCTGTGCATGATGCCAAGCTTTTGTGTATTATAACATCTAAATATATCACAGTGAAAACCCATATGATTATATAATCGGCCCTGGTGGATTATGAGCGGTACATTATGGTTGGGCGATTGGATGAATATATCGTCTGCAATTGGCGATTGAGCTATTTGTCATTTTATTTTGCTTATATAATGCTCTGCCTCCGATAACTGATTCAACTGTTTAATGAACCAAAGAACTGGCAGTTGTTATTAAATCATATATATCTATAAGTTAATTCAGATCATCCCGACTCCGCTCACCCACTTTTCTCTCTCTTTAGCGCTGACACACACAGACTTACAGCATATGACGTCTCTGACCTTCTTTAGTTCAAGTGTTGATTTGTTTGTAACCACCACAACATTATCAACACTGATCACCACATAATGATCAATACTTTTCTTAAATGAGTAAAATCTTTCTTCATAACTGCGTGCATTCATTTACACAGGTGTGCAACCCTGTGCTCTCAGGCGAACATATCATCACTCAGCGGTTGATGGGCTGACAGTGGTCGAAAAAATTCAAGCATATCACCCAACCCTAGTGTACATTACTTTTCTCGCAAAGAAAGAAAACAAGACCTCAAATCATGAGATGAGCTGCACATCTCACTGTCTTTACACACACCTTCTGTGTTTTCCTGATGGTAGGAGCCATGTCTTTGAAGTAGTCGGGCTCTTCGTCAGCATCGTCGAGCGGAGGGGAAACACTTCCATTGCCACCTTCAATCTTAATACTAGTAGGAGCGTCTTCATCCCAAGAGCTCCACTCTTCAATCTCTGGCTGTGTAGACCGGAACATAAAATCCAATTTAAAGTTCTATTGTTCTTTGGAATTCAGGAGCAGGAGGTTGTGAGCGTAAGTAAACATATGTACATTGAACCTGAGGCTCTGAAATGCTCAAAGCTGGTGCTGTTGACTGATGCTTCACTGACCTGTTTTGGTCCTGATGATGAAAAATCCACTGTTGTTGGGAGAGTTATTTGATCACCACTGAGCTTGCGCCCCCTTCCACTCCTACAGAGTAAAACAATAAATTAAAAAAGTCAAAAGGAAATAACTCAACATTGTACAAAGAAACAACTGACAGAACATTGTAATTGTTTGTTTAGAGAACACTGGGCGGATGATATATGGAAACTGCATATTTCTGCAATGAGAAAAACTGAAATGGAACAGAGAACAATGTTGTATATAATCAGTTTGAAAGACAAAGATCTCTTTGTGTCCAGTGGAGATCAGGTACTTTACATGATTTCATTTCGTTTTCTACCGTCTCTTCTGTACCTGTGGCTTTTCTGTTTTGAAAGATAAAAAAAAGATTGATTTTGTAAATATGGATGAGATGCAAAGATTGAGGCGGCTGTTTGCTTATGAAATTGATAAATGATCCAGTTATCTGGGCAAAAAAAAGCTCCTCATCGAGTCAATGTATAGATGTGCAGTAGTTCTTTAAGTGTGAAATCATTTGGAATTTGCACTGAACTCCTGAATCTCCTGACATTCTCCAGAGCTGCTGTAGGTGAGAACGTAAATGTCTAATTGAAAGGCTCCGGAGTTTCTCTGGAGCTTCTTTTGACAGCCCCAGAGGCCAGAGGGTGAGCTGATGACACGTGTGAGATGCAAAAGTTGTAAAAAAAACTACACTGAGGAATCAATACATCATGTCCTGCCTCTGCACCACCCCTCACCTGAACGCTCTGGAGATATCTGTGCTGTTGTGAATGCATGTGAGGGGGAAATCTCCTGCTAAGTTCAGTAGCACGTGTTTGGACAGGAGTTCATTTCCGAAAACGGATGTGTTGTGTCTCCAATGATGGACAGTATAATTAAATTGGAAAGACTTCATTAGAAGTAACAGCATGTATCGGGAGTAGTGGACATGGCATTTATGAAGCTTTCAGTTGTGCTTACCTGCATATTAACCTCTTAAAGAAAGCCAGTAAACTGGCTAGACATGTGCAGATCTTGAAGAGACGGAACTGAGTGATGGCCATGATGAAACTGAACTGGAAGGAGAGATCAGAGATTAATCTCGCACAACATTACAAGGATTAACACGTATGTATTGTTTTGCTCCAGAGAACCAGGATGTGTAGTAAAGAAAGTCTCCGGTGGAACAATATTGATGCAACGAATAAGTCAGAACAGATGATCAGGAGTGAATCCTGAAGAGAAGTCTCGATCATCATGTGACACCTGATCCTATTATTCATCTGGAGATCCGTGGCATTAGCATCTTATTAAATTGTTGCCCAGCTTGTGTGCAAACAGATGTCATGATCACAAACTACAATTCATGCAACTGTACACGCAGCACAAACACGATCTGAGGCTAACGCGGAATATAAAGCGATCACTACTATTCTTTAAGCTAAATGGAGGCAGCTGAATGATTTCTTCAGATTGAACTTCTGCACCTCGTTGCTCCTCTATAATCAGACAGCGTGACTCACCGTGCAAGATGTCAATAGACCGCCGCTGCTTTCTTCTCGCGTGATAGAGGAGACACGTTCATTTATTTGCTAACCGTTGCTCGCTAGCTTAGCCCCATGGGAAACATGGTATTTCTGAAGCCTGTGATTGTCTTCGTAGGACGACACATTGGCCGTGACAGATAATATCACTGTCCCGTCAAAACCACGCATGCAACGGGCTGCACGACCGCGTCCGCGTTCATGACAGAACTCGTGAAATGCTGTCGTTGCCTATCTCCGTCCCGCAGCTGCCATCTTTGAGCTGGGAGCAGCAGGAACACGGAAGTGATTGCGTGCACCTGATTCTTCTTCTCTCGTTTGATTGGTGCTTGGCAAACCTGCTGCATTCAAGTTCGGTAGGAAATCGGAGTGAAAACACCACACAGCTTTTGTTTTTTCTCCTGTATTCATTTCTCATTGTAAATAACAAATCAATAAAATAAAACATAGATCGTAAATAAATTTAACATATTTATCATTTATATATATTTCAATGTTTGATTGTGATTTAAATATTCGTTATGAAGTAAATTTATAGTTATTCGCTTTGATCTGCTTTCTCCTCCTTGCGTCTTTGGGCATTGTTAAAGTCCTTTAGAAATATGTAATAATAATGATAATAATAATTTATATAGATATGAGCGGATTTTTCTCAATAGGTGTCATTGTCCCTGCCAAACAGGAAGTGTTGCTGCCGTCATCTTTCTATCCATAATGACCTCTGTTGATAGACATATAAATTCTGACATGATAAAACCAAACCCTTAATGCGTAATGCGTAATCGTGAATAAATAAAATACACAATGACTAATTAACGCTTTACGATTTATTACACCGTCATTCATTTGAAACAATTACTTTACATCCAGTCGTGCTTGTGACGCGAACGCACCATGTCATCACCACAAGGTACCCAATGAAAACACGACTTGGACGGAAGTGGCACATTTGAAAACTGCCAGTTGAAGTCGAGCCTCTCTCGGTTCTGCTCAGTGAAAGGAAGTTAATGACAGCGGAATCACGGTGAGGCTTTTTCTATTGGAAACACGACATTGTTATGTGATTGCCGATACATTTATATACACATGTTAGAATTCACCGGATCCTTGCGGGGCCCACTGCGGAACCCACTCTCGTTAACAACAGAGCTACATGTTGGCTAACTAGCTAACTGAGCTAAGTCACTTTGTAAACACTTGGGCAAAGGAAGAACGCTGCGCAGTTATTGATCTTATTATATGAAGTTAAAGCTTTTTACATCAGTATTGCTGTGTCATTAAAACAACGTGTACCGGCAGGATCATGTATATTCACAATCAAGTAGTAGCAAATATCTCGAGGAGCTAATATGTCGAACAAGCGATCCATAAAGCTGCATTTAAAGTGAACGGTACAATGAATGTACAGTGATGTTGTTGACCTATAAACAATGTTCTCCACGTCTCTTTTGATGGTGCAACGATCTCTTACAGCGTTTCCTTATTGGGTGGTAACTTGCAGGAGCTTAAAGTCCAGTGTAGGACTGATCCACATGTTACACGATGTAAAGATCCATTCAACTCTCATTGATTTGAACGATGTTTATGTCATTTGCGATCATTGTCTCCACAAGTGTGGATACAGGTCTTTCATACATGGTCTACTCACTCACCTTTCTCTTTCAGATGGAGGAAGAGGAGCTGACGTATGACAGAAAGCAGCCGCTTGCCATGCTTTATGAAAAGCTGAACAAAATTAAAAAGTACCTGCATGAAGGTAATAATATTCCACACAGTCCTTACACTGTAACATCCTCATCAGTATCCACTCTTCGTGTCTGCACTCCGTTGAGACCTGACTCTTTGCTCTCGCCACAGATGACACGGACAATATCAATCAGGTCATCGGCTCCAACTCCCCTGAGTCATGTCTCTCATATTTGATGGACCTGGAGAAGAAAGGGGACCTTCACTCGAATGAAAACCATCTCACTCGACTCGTTGACTTTTATACCAGAGTATTTTCCAATATGCCGCTGGGGAAACACTGTCAGAATGAGAGCTATGCCAGGATGTTGGTCAGATTTGCAGAGCTAAAAGCGTAAGTAACAAAATCTTCTTTCCACCTTTATTTATGGTTAAAAAAGATTTTATCACGGCGATAATGACTTGAAAAATCTTGATTAATTTTCTAATTCATTGTGCAAATATTAATACAAATGTTTTATAGTCTCTTTGAGCCACACATTTACATAAAAACGTGAGTAGGATGGGCATTTAATCAGCTTTTTTGTCTTTTTATTAGGATTCAAGATGTCAGTGATGCAGAAGCCAACTTCAATGTAGCAAGATCTCAAAGTCAGAACTTTGCATTTGTTCACATTGCTCATGCAAACTTTGAGCATTCTCAAGGTAGAAAGATCATCTTTTGGTCATTCTTGTGCAAGTAACTATATTTTCATGACATCTGGGTCATTACAGTGTCTGCTGATTCATTTCACCAGGCAACACAAAGAGAGGCATTTACATACTGCAGAATGCTATTGAAGTGGGTGCCAAACCAAAGGAACTGCTGGAGGCTCTCTTGCAAAGTTTGCAGACCGGCAAAACACAAGTGTTGTGTTCGGAGGAGAAGGAAAATGTACCACGTGAGTATTTAGTCCTGTTTTTTTTTCATGACATATGATTTGATTATTTTCCTGGTGTGTAGCAATTCAGAGTTTCAGTTTGCACAAATGTACTATGACATAATGTATTGACTTCCAACTTTTTGTTGGGCTTTTCCAATATGATTTTCATATTTTGCTGTGTTAGTATTGCCTAACAGTAATGTTTACAATTCTGTCAAAAAAGGCTCAGAATTCCAAAAAGTGAGCAGAATATCAGACGGGACAGGTGACTTGCAGCTCTCCAGTATTTTTGGTTCAGGGTAAGACTAAAACGCCAGCTTTCTGTGTTGAGTTAGGTTTCTGCTTTTATTTAGGAAATGTGACATCTTATGTTGTTATCTGCATTTCAGACCTGAGTTTCTTGGAGGATCATCAGATGAACAACTACCAGGCTGGAGATCTGGGTATCAGCACAAGAGAGCAGTTGGCATAGTAAGAGTAGCATCTCTTTCTGCTTGTATTATGAAAACTGTACTGTGCATTGGTTTCCAAAGAAAAGATAAGCAAATAGTCCTTGAAAAGTGTAATTTATGTTCTAATCTTTTGTGTGCAGCCAGGGAGAGTTCCTGTGGTACCATTCTCTATCCCAGAAAATGATGACTGTGATGATGACTATATATGTGGGAAACCCTCAAAGAGAAGTGATGCATCAATCCCCACTAGTTTGTCCAGGTACATTTTTATAATATTTTCAAACGGGTTTAGTTTGGTGATGCCTGGAACAGTTTCAATAGATTAAAATATACTACTGTTTTGATTTAGACAACTTAACATTAC